TCCATAATGAAAGGTATGTACTTCTAATTATAGTCAATTAAACTGAAGTCATTAATCTCACAATAATAATTAGCCTAAATTTATTATAAGTTTGTTCATGCAGTTTATACCCCTTTGATAATTCCTCATAAACCCAGGTCTCTACTTTCGTATCATAGAGATTTTGTAGGCAAGATGTGGTAAACTTTAATTGGAAGTTGTCAGTCGTTTTATTTTCCAGTCATGTATCTGCTCAATTAATTTATTTAGCTTGATTGTGTATCTACATGTGCCTACTTTTTACTCCGAAATATCGTGTATCCTACTCATGTTTAAGTAATAAACTGAATGGTTCAAAATAGCCTAAAAATAGTATTATAACATTTAATGTAGTCCACGGTACTCACATAACATCCAGTGATTTAGCCCTAGTGTATACAGCCAACGAGATTTCTCTTAAAGAGTCAGATTAAGATGATTTTCTTTAACAAAACATGTCAGGTAGTCCACGCGGGGCTGCCATCTTGAAAAGCATCGATCTGATCCAGTACTGATATACAGCCTGGACCAGTGCTGACGAACAGACATTACTGTATCAGCTATGACTACATCGGGACTGAAATAGATACTGGTCCAGGCCAGAGCAACAGCCTCGATTCAGCAGTGATGGCCGTCGATGCTGGACCGTTATAGAATCAAACCTGGTCCAGGCCTGATACCCATCATTCACGGATCATGCATGGTAACTCTTGGGTGTGTAAGGGTACCAAGAGTACTCTTGGTAATACGCATGCGCAAAGATCTGGTCACGTGATGTTGAAGGCGGGCTAACCAGCTGACAGCCTCAGCCTGACAACTTGTGAACTTGAAAGTAGACTTTTTGCTTTGCTGGAAATGTCTTTCCTTGATAATGAGGAAAGAATGATGGAAGTACCTACTGGATCCATACCTTCCAGTCCTCGTTCCAGTCCTATTGGTTTGTATAATCTACCCCCCACTTGTCATATATACTCAATAGGTAAGTGTCCACACCAGCTACTCTCAGTGTGACAGGCTCGTCATTTTGATAGATCAGTGCAGTATTACCCACACTGGTTATCAAAGACACTCTACAGTAACTGATGCTATGATCAGAGAAGAGGAATCATTGAAGGCAGACAATGCTAGAGAGTCTGAAGATGAGAAGAGAAAAGTAAATTATTTTTCCTTTTTATAAATTGTGGGCAAGATTTTAGAATGTTGATACATGTATATGTACTGTAAACTTGAGAGTAACTTTTAATTTTGGTTTAAAATTGAGTTTGACTGTCGGCAAGAGTAGATAATAATTAGAGGACAGTGTCCTACTGTACATATACCCCCTGCTTCATCACAGTGTAGAATTGAAGAGTCACATTCAGGATACTTCCATATTTTCATTGAGTAGTTATAGTTATTGCTAGTTATTTTCGAATAACTACTCGAAAATACTGAAAATATCCTGAATGTGACTCTTCAATTCTACGCTGTGATGAAACAGGGGCTATAGGCACAGTAGGACACTCTCCTCTAATTATTATTTACTCTTGCTGTCGGTATATTTTGTGGGTACTAATAATTGCGATTAGTAAATAGAGGATGTGCATGCTAAGTACAGAGCCTGAAATTACAGTCGGACATCGGACATTTTCCGACCATTTTGCTTAATTGTCTGACCAAATACCGTGTTGTTCTGCCATTTTGTCTGAACAACACAAAATTTTTTTATTAGTAAAACAAAATTTAAATAATTAATAAATTACGAGAGTATACGGATTAACCACGTTTCAAAATGGCGACTGGCAGCAGGAGAGCAAAGTATGATACTTACCTGAACTGGAAGAGGAACTACGACAAGCAGATACAAACAGTGACATGGCTGGATTGTGATGTAACTTCAGAGGCTGGTGTGAAGCATGTCACTAAGCTAAAATGTCGCGTGTGCACTAAATACAAGGACAAAATTGCAGGCAGAAAGAATTTCAGTGATAAATGGATAAGTGGTGCTCACTCAGTAAGAACAACTAACATTGTTGACCACGCAAAGTCAGACCAGCATCTACATGCCATGAATATTCCAAAAAAAGAGGCAGCTAAGGTACAAGGAGCAAGTGCTACTTCTTATGCACCAATTGCTCAATCTCTGAGTTGTGTATCTGATAGTGAGAGGGAGCATCTCAGAAGAAAGTTTAAAATAGCGTACTTTATAGCAACAGAGCAGCTCTCATTTCAGAAATACTCAAAGATTTGTGAACTTGAAACGAGACATGGTGTTACTTTGGGAAGTGCATATTTACATGAGAATGCTGCCAAAGAAATTATTCACTACCTAGCAACATCATATCAACAGAAGTCGATTAACAACGTGTCTTCTGCACCGTACCTATCATTGTTGTTGGATAGCTCTACCGATAAGGGAAACATTGACAATGAACAGTTATTAGTCTTATGGTGTGACACAGATAGCTCAGATGAGAAGATTCACACCAGAATGAGTTTCCTTTGTCTACATAAGCCTCAACAAGGAACCCTGCTGGCATTTTTGAGAGTCTGAAGCATGGTTTACATTGTCTAGGATTTCAGTCATTCACCAAAGATAGCTGTTTTAAGTTAGTTGGGATTGCTACAGATCGAGCAGCAGTAAATGTTGCTGATGGAGGGTTGAAGGGACTAGTTGATGAGGAATTGGAATGGATTTTTTGGATGTGGTGCTTAGCACACAGACTTGAACTAGCAATTAAAGATTCTCTGAAACACACTTCATTCGATTTAATTGATAAGATGCTCCTAAGGCTCTATTATCTGTATAAAAAGTCATCGAAGAAATGCCGAGAGCTAGAGAATATTATTAACGATTTAAAGGATGCATTTCAACTCAATCATGGTCAAGGTGATGGTGGATTGAGACCTATTCGTGCATGTGGAACCCGTTGGGTAACGCATAAGTTAAGTGTAATGAAGAGAGTTCTTTCTAAGTTTGGTGCCTATGCTGCACACCTTACCACTCTTTCTGAGGATTCGTCTGTTAAGTCAGCTGACAGGTGTAAGTTTCGAGGTTATCTAAGAAAGTGGACTGATGCAAAGTATTTGTTAGGTTGTGCATTGTTTGTTGACTTGCTGACTTCTTGTTCTATTTTTTCTAAGTCTATGCAAGCTGATGAGTTGGATATACTTGCTGCACTTGACTTGGGTGTGGTTTATAATCATGACCGACAAACCAGCACTGATTTTGCAGCAAAGAGAATATAACGGGATAAGAGAGCTGGATGGCTCCACTAAAGCTGCTAAAGATAGCTGATTAGCTGCTGGACACTGTAAATGTATAAACACGTGGTCAATCGCCATAGCAACTATCTAATCTGTTTCCATGGAAATTCTAATTAGCATTCACGAAAATTAGTCGTCCTATGGTATCTAATTGTTGCCTATACTGATATCTATTTTATTCTTGTGGCAATTAGAAACTAATAGTACCAGATTAGCAGTAAATATAAAGCACTTTAATGTAGGACTTTTGTTGTTTGCACATAAGACATGTGGGAATATGTACAGTAATAGTAATAGTAATAGTAATGATTACAAATATTGGTGTAATAGTAATATAATAGTAATTCAAGAAAATGAAATCCATTGTAATAATAATAGTAATATGAAATAGACAGTAATAGTAATTGTACTTGTAATAGAAATTATGATGTATGTAATATGTGTTGATTACATGTATGCTGCACTTGACAGTTCATAGAAATTATTAAGCGTCAATTTGTCAGTGCCACTGTCAGGAGGAACTTTGTGACGTATCCGATTCTATTCAAGTTGCTTCGTCATGTGTAGAGAGCATGTTTTTATGTCAAAAGCTTTTATTTATGTATAGTGTACATGTACCTTCACTTAAAAGTAATAGTTATATAATCCAATTAAAATAATAAAGTAATAGTAATAAGAATTGAATATCAAGTAATAGTAATAAAAGTATAATTGCTTTAGTTTAGTTAAGTCATGTAATAGTAATATCAAAAATTTTCTGGTAATAGTAATTGTAATAGATTACATTTTAATGTAATTGACCCCATGCACGTACATGTAGCCAGTTTAGTTTTTACATTTTATTATTGCAAATGCACCTTGACCTACAATGTACCATTGCTTCAAGAATAACATTTTTAGCCATTAATTTTTGTTTATTCAATATTTGAAGAATTAAAAATACATTTGTATTGTACATGTATGACTTTTTATTAGAGTAATTTTGGACTAGGGCTGAAACGAATAGTGAGATATTCGAATATTCATTCGTTATTGCAATTAATATTTGAATGATTTTTTGCTATTCAAACTATTCGCATAATAAAATTATTATTAGTTATTGCAATAATTAATAATCACCCCCTCCGTGTGTCACCTGCACAGGCTGTTTTTTAGTCTGTTACTTGGTCTATTTACTTAACAACTCGCTAAATACTGATGCTGTGGCCAGGGAAAGTTGTTCTTAATCTCTAAGTTGCCCTGTTTGGCATCATTTTGACAAGTAGCTTATAATCATTCAGCAATAACAGTCGAATTATTTGAATATTCGTTCGTTTAGCATGCCAACTATTCGAATAATGAAAAATGCTATTCGTTTCAACCATATTTTGGACCATTGGCAAATTTATGACATTAACATTTATGCTTCCATTTTTTTACTAGGTTGATGAGTTATCTTGTATGAAGGTGTCAAAGCGTTTTGAGCGCCTACAACACTTATTAAATAAAAGCAATATATACAGCAAAATACTGCTAAGTAAAATGGAGGCACAGATTGAGGAGAATAAGAAAGAGAAGGAGAGAAAGAGAAAGTCAGAAGCAGCATCCACCGAACATAAAACTAAGAGAGAAAAAGAAGTAAGATTTTACCCTGTATTTTGGAGGAGAAATTATCTAGAAATTGTCATTTTTGATAGACTTTTGCTTGTGAACCATTATATTATTTGCCAAATGAAAGCATCAAAGAACATGTATTTAGCAATTTTAAAATTTCAAAAACTTGTGAAAAGTGATTACTCTAGTTGTCACTTACATACAAATGTTTTTGAGGTATATTCAGAGCTACTGTTATTCACAGTTTTTACCACTCCCAGCAATTATTATACATGTATTTGATATTATTTGTATATGCACTTGTGTAGGATAATGTGAAGACAAAGGCTAGAAGAAGTACAAGGAAAAGGAAAGTTAATGACGAAACTGATTATCAACTATCAGATTATATGGATGAATCGGTGAGTGTAATAATCATAAGAAATTAATATTCAGAAAATGAAAGCTTACATGTAGAAGGGAATTAAGACATGTGTATATATTTTTAAACTTGTACTTAATCATCAAATTCTAGAGATTCATTAATTGGTAGGATAATTAATTAAGTTACAGTATCAGCCTCTATAATAGCTTTAACCTTATTATTGAACCTTCTTATCATACTGGTTTCTGCTCCATGTAGTATACATGTATGTACTATGTACATCATGTATGTTTCATTTTTGTTAGCCGTATATTATTTTCAATTTTTCACATGTCATTTTATTCAGGGAAGATTGAAAAAGAGACAAAAGGTTGATGTTAAACCTAATGACTTTGCTACCAGTTCAAGTCAAGAGGAAGGTAATGATAGCATATTGATACAGTATGTATATTGATTGAATGTGTATAGTGTACAGTTGTACACCTGGTTTGGGGGGGGGTAGCGTACGCTTTGATGAATTAGTACATATTGTTATAGTTAGGAGTTATCTCAGCTTCATCCTCCATGGTTATTGTTATTATTGGTATTGTACTATTATTTTTTTTATGTACAGTACAACCTCGATTATCCGGATTCTGAAATCATGACCGGAAGTGACCACGTGGTGCTTTAAATTCACTTAATTAGAATATATGGTATTATAAAATGGCTGCTTTCAACAAAGAGTAGCTTGTTTAGCAGTGGAATGCTGCTGATTAATGGCTTTCTACTAGTAACAAGGCTTGGATTTAGCTTCCTTATGGCTGATTAAGGTTGTAACTTTTTTTGGAGTAAGTATATGAAGGTTTTACAGGTCATTTCAATTATCTGGACTTTTCACTTATCCGGACCACTTGATGGACAAAGGGGTCCGGATAATCAAGGTTATACTGTACCGTATTTCCTTAAATAAAAGCCCGGGCGTTTATTTCCTAAAATGATATTTGGACCTTGAAAATTTTTTTAAATAAAAGAGACGTTGGGTCCAGAATGGGATTCGAACCAGTGACCTCACAATTTGATTTCAAGGCATCTAAGTTACTTGTAGGCTAGATTTGCGTATTTATAGTTCAATTTTATTGCTACCCCTGCGTTTCTTCGCATCTGGCTTTTATCTAAGGATATGTTGTATATGGTATATTTAATAGGTACATGTAGATATATTGAAGGTCAGCTGGTCCCCTCATTACAGCCGAAGTTAGTAACAGGAGGTATTCTAAGACCATATCAATTGGAAGGTGTTGAATGGTTGAACGTTTTATATGAAAATGGAGTCAATGGGATATTAGCTGATGAGATGGGACTGGGAAAGACCATACAGTGTATTGCTTTCATTGCTCATTTAATTGAAATGGGAGTGCTGGGACCATTCATTGTTGTAGCACCTTTATCTACTATATCTAATTGGGTGTCTGAATTTAAGAAATTTGCACCAACTGTAAGTACATATCTTATGTACATGTGATGTATTAACTACTTGTACATTTCTACATTTATTTGTACATATACATCTAAGGTTTCTGTTGCCTTCTCAGCCTAAATCTGATCCTTTGTTCTGAATTATCAATTAAAGCATGTAGATCAAGTGAAATTTTAAAAATTAGTACACACCAAATCAGTACCATTAACAAGGGCCTGGAATAATAGTTGGACATCAAACATTTTTGTTCAGTTGTCTTACCAATTAAGTTCTGTGTTGTTCTACCATTTTGTCTCAATAGTATCATTTTTAAAACAACGATATAAAATTTAATTCATTACTACATGTAAAAGTATACTAACCCATTAATAATGGTCAATCAAAGCATGCTAATTAAGTAAGCTAAACAGCATGAGCTGACAAGCACTTGTATATTAACTAAAGCCACTAAATTGCATGTGTACAATTGATGTCCTCAATTATTATTCTTATATTTCTCCTCCCTCTTTCCTTTCCATCACTCATACACACTGTACATGTATTGCAGGTATCAGTATTCCTATATCATGGTAGCATATCAGACAGACTGGCTTTAAGGAAGAAGATATTTAAATCTAAACACAAAGATGGTATTCTTCCAGTTGTTGTGACATCTTATGAGATTGTACTGAAGGACAGTTCATATTTAGCAAACAAGTCATGGAAATTCTTAATTGTTGATGAAGGACATCGTATTAAGAACCTTAACTGTAAATTGATCAGGTAATTATGTGTGATTGTACATTCATTGATACATGTACGTGTATATAGTCATGTACTGTACACGTATGTGTACAATGTACATGTACTTTTGCTATAAACCTACTGTATACCCTTAACTATAAATACAGTGTCCATTATGATGCTGTTTTTCCATTGCCTGTCATTAGGACATTAAAGACATATGATGCTGCTAATAGGCTGCTATTGACTGGTACTCCTTTACAAAATAATTTAACTGAATTATGGTCTTTACTTAACTTCTTACTACCAGATCTGTTTGATGATCTTAACAGGTAAGAGTGATACATTTATACTTACATGTATACAGGTTTCAATCATAATAAAGGTGTTTAAAGCATTTTTGGACAAAGCATATGGGCTATCATTATATATACTGGGTATTTGTGGCATATTTTTGAACTGAATATTTTCAGCTTTTAATAAATGTAATTAGTTTGTATCAAAAATTTAAAACGTGACTGGTGATTTCAGAGCCATATTTAAAGAAAAAGTGTGGGTTGTACTATTCAGAAATTAGCACAGTTTTTACAATTGCCATAACTGACATTTTTAGCTTAAAATTTGATCACAAACATCAATAATAATTACTCCTATTATTTTTATAGTTGCCTTGCTTTTTTCTAATTTAGTTTCCAATCATGGTTTGATTTCAGTTCAGTGGTTGATGATAATACAATTGAATCAAATGAATCAATCATTAATAGAGAAAAAGAAGAAAAAGTCCTGAGCACATTGCATCAGGTACAGTACATACATGTAGCTGTTAAGTTTCCTACATGGAAAAGAGAAAAATCCCCTTCTAAGTTTCAATAGTCTACATGTAATGAAACTAGAAATTTTAAACTGATTGCAATTAAATTTGGATTTTTAAATTTTTAACGTTGCTTAAAAATTGGTCTAAAGTCACTGTAGTGACTGTACTGTAGCAGAAACTGAAATTACATGTACATTCAAACTATGTTCAGACACTGTGTCTGAAGTCTGAACATTGCCTAATGTTATCTGCCATTTTTATGAAATGGTCAGACAGGGTTTTTCTCGTGATTTTGGCATTGTCCTCATACAGACTTTTGTCCTTGTAAAGGGATTTTGGCCAAATTTTTATTAAAAATGAAAAGTAGAGAATTTTCTTTTTTTTTAATTTTTCCTTATGCATACATATGTTTTATGCTGTGTAGAAAGTTTGAGCTGATTCTGATAAATTTGGAATTTTTTAACAATTTTTTTAAGTTGCTCAAAAATCAGGCCAAAGTGTGCAGGGATTTGGTCAAGTTTCATCAAAAGTGAAAAGAAGAGAATTTTTCTTTTTATTACATTCCCTGATGCATACCGTACAAGATGATTTAGTTGCGAGGAATAAGTATTTGCAATTTACGGTTCTATGAAATAATCGCCATCATAAAATCCGCCGTTTTGTTTCAATCTGAGCATGCTCCATGGTACATGGCTCAAAATCGTCAATATAAAATCCTTCAATTTCTTTTCACAGGCAGATTTGCTAAATATTACTCACACCAATAAATCAACTTGTACAGTACATGTTTTAGTTTTATATTGTGTAGAAAGTTTAAGCTGCATCCAATTAAATTTGAATTTTTTGTGAATCTATGAAGTTTCTAAAAAGTCACTGTACTTAGTACATGGTCTTGGGCCTAATTTCTCCCAAAATAAAAAGGAGAAAATTCTCCATTTTTATTACATTTTATTTCTAATACAATGCATGTTTTTATATTGTGTAGAATTATTCCTGTTCACCTTTTTTAATTTTTAGATTCTAACTCCATTCCTCCTTCGACGTCTTAAAACTGACGTTGAACTTGGCATTCCTCCCAAAAGAGAAGTGTTAGTATATGCACCTTTGACATCACTGCAAGAGAAATATTATACATTAATATTGAATAAAACAATCGATAAATTAATCAAGAATGGTGAAAAAAGTGACTATCTGACTGATGATGTGGTACTTCATGATAACAGTGAAAGATCTTCCAAGAAGAAAGCAAAAGAAAGGTAGGAAAAATACAGTATATGAGGACTAACAGTTTGGAGTATTTTGTAGGATATTATTTCCAATATAGCATTATAGCACTTTTTGCATGCATGTACATGTACACTTATTGTGACAATTAAAGTACAAGTAATTTAGTAACGACTACTTTCTGATGTACTACTGTACATGTATGGGCATACACATAGCTACACATACATTGTACATGTGTAAGTATACTTTTTATTGATGTGCAAGTATCATCCATGCACATGTGAATGCATGCATGTACTTTTCTCTTGTCTATATTCAAATATTTTTGTTATTGTTATAGACTTTCTCTGCTGAGTGATGATCAGATTGAAGCTCATTTTGAAGCATTGCTTGCTGGTCAAGATCAAGATATTACTGATATTGATTCATCTAATAAAGAAAATGAGAATTGGTACAGTATGTATGTGTATGTATGTACATCAAATACATGTACATGTATGTATTTTTAATCCTAGCAGCTGCCTCAAAATTATTAATAATGGGAAATTATTTTGTTATAACTTAAGAAAATTACCTTGTACTCTAACATTTGGTTTTTTTCAAAAATTCTATATTACAAAATTCATTTTTATTATCACTCCCTCTCTCCCTTTCTCTTTATAGCAGCAGTGAAGAGCATAAGTCAGTATTTAATGTTAAAATGACTTGTATGTGGGTCATGTTAAGAAAGTGTTGTAATCATCCTTATCTGGTTGAGTTTCCACTGACTGACGATGGTCAGCCTAAGATTGATGGTGATCTCATTACTGCAAGTGGCAAACTATTGATGTTACATAAAATGTTACCTCATTTGGTGAAGCAACAACATAAGGTTTGTCTTAATTGCAATACAAGATGATTTGTGACCATAATTGACAAAAGGTACCTATGGCGGGTAGTGAAATTCATCTTTATAGCCAAAAAAATCCAACTTCCTGAGCTTAATTTATTGTAAAATTAATCCACAGTATGCAAAAAGTTACTATGTAACTTTTAAAAACAATGGTTGTTCAACAGAACACTCACAGATTGATATTTTCCATTATATTGATGAATTTCAAAATCCGCCATAAGGTACCTTTTGTCAATTATGGTCACATTTATTGAAGATCAGAGTAATATTATTTTGTTAATTTGTCAGTAGAAAGTACTTGTATTTATTAAAATTTTTGCTGCATGTTATTGAGCGTACTCAAATTGAAACCAAGTGGCAGATTTTAATATTCCTATTAATTATTCACAAATGAATCTACACAGTACCATGTCTATATGTGCCTATATACATTTAGATTTGTGTGATGGTGTTGTTACCAGGAGAACTTGGCAACAGGTTCTGTCAGTGGATTTTGAGGCCTATATACATTTAGATTTGTGTGATGGTGTTGTTACCAGGAGAACTTGGCAACAGGTTCTGTCAGTGGATTTTGAGGTTGTGAACAAAATACTTGTGCCACATATACTACAGTGTACAGGGTATTTTTTCAAAAATTGCTACAAGTAATTTTTTATTTCATTATTTTTTCTGATTCTTCAGTATCGATTTTTAAGTTGATTCCAATCAAAATTGGATTTTTTACGGATAATTATTGTTGAAGCTACTCAAAAATCAGGCCAAAGTCCTTATACAGGGCTTTAGGCCAAATTTCGCCCAAATTGTAATTTTTCCTAATGCATATGCATGTTTTTTACATTGCATAGAAAGTTTGAACTGATTCTGGTCAAATTTGGATTTTTATAGTATAGTGTCTTTGGCCTGATTTGGAGCCACTTGAAAATTCATACAAAATTCAGTACAGGGTCACTTGCCAAATTTCTACGAAATTGAAAAGGAGAGATTTCTCTATTTTTATATTATTCCCTGATACATATACATGCTGCCAGTTTGAGTTAGTTCCGATCAAAATTGAATTTTTTACAAATTTTTAAAGTTACTCAAAAATTTTGCCAAGTCCCTATACTATATGATACAAGGTCTTTGGCCAAAATTGACCATGAGAGAATTTTTATTTTTATAATTTTTTTGATACTTGCATGTACATGTCCTCAGTTTAAATATTAAGTTTGAGTTGATTCTGATCAAAATTTGATTTTTTATAGTTGCTCTAAGCCCATCTACATGCAGTATGCACTGTATTTCAGTGCTTGTCAGCTCGTAAATCATGCCTGTTAGCTCACTTACATTTACATGTGGCAATGCTTTGTCATATTATACTACCATTATTATTCGCATCATAGCAATATTCATGTACATTATACCTACATGTACATTTTAATATGCAACCTGACTGTAGTGACTGCACCAGTACGTGTATTTATTGTTTCTGTTTTTTTTGATGTTGATATTTACACATGTACATTATTGTTGCTCTTATACAGTAAATATTTCTTTTTAGGTCCTTATATTTTCACAGATGACACAGTTATTGGACATATTATCAGATTATCTTGAATTGTCTTCTCTTGGTTACTCAAGACTAGATGGCACAATGTCTTACTTTGACAGAGAATTAGAGGTACATCACATCCCAACTACAGTGTACATGTACATGTATAACCATACTCCTGTGTATTTTTAACAGATGGCTCGATTCCGTGATGATCCTGATTGTAATGTATTTCTATTGAGTACTAGAGCTGGTGGTTTGGGCATTAACTTGACATCAGCAGATACTGTTATTATATTTGACTCAGACTGGGTAAGGAGAGAGAGAGAGAGATGAGTGCTCAAACATCTTTCCTTGTACATGTATATTGTACGTGTGTAGTAATCACTTAGCTTGGGTTCTTGTGTTGCATGTACAATGCATTATTGGGCAAAGCCCACTGATGTGAAGTATTTTTTTATGTACATATGTCGGGGGTGTGACTGGGAGGCGTGACCAGAGGGCAGAGTCCCTTAATGTTTTACATTCTTTCTAGTAGAGTATACACTTCACTCCATTGTAAAAAGGAATACCTTATACACGTAGCTAGAAATTTTTGAGTGCCAAAATATTGGGGAATGGGTTTGGTGGTTAAAATTCAGGCAAATTTTTGGCACTGCTACACAGCTCTAGAATTCAAAGCTAAAATTTTAACAAATTGGCCTCCTAAAATTTTACTCCATTTTTGGCCTTAATAAAGAGTTTTGTATAGCATGTAAATTTTTCAAAACATAGTTTTGTTAGTTCTTAACAATTCACGTGTGGTATGTCTGTCATGCATGCAGGTATATTTAAATTTTTGCCTTTTTACATGTATTATTCTTAAATTGCAAAATTATAGTGCTACACAAAAGCTTCATGCCTTACTGTATTTTATGTTATAATTCTCTTCAGAATCCTCAAGTTGATTTGCAAGCTCAAGATAGATGTCACAGGATAGGACAGACTAAGCCAGTGATGGTCTACAGGTTTGTTACTGCCAATACAATTGATCAGAAAATTGTGGAGAGGGCAGCTGGAAAAAGAAGATTAGAAAAAATGATAATTCATAAAGGTAGTCACAATTACTCTGTTGTGTTTAACTGGTGATTTTAAATGGGGTTGGTTGATTTTATTATTTTCGTGTTACCATTTTTACTTCTGAAGCAGCTTATGCACCCTTTTAAAATTGCCCATTTTTATTTTGTTAAAATGAATGGAAATTGTACATACACTAATCAATAATTAATACTTTATTACTTTTGAGCAGTTACAATCCAAAATTATGTGCATGCATGTGCCTCAAAGAGTCTTTGCATTTTGATTAAAACCATGAATTGCTATTAACAAGAGTAGATGATAGTTAGAGAGAGTGTTGAACTGCACTATGCTAGCTGGAATATGACCGTGTAGAACTTTCTTGCACATCTTTGGGCATTCCCGCATACTGGGTGTGGCTGAGTAAGAAAAAATGGCTGCCTAGTTTGCTCAACAAGGTTTACTGGCCGTTTTGGAGTCTCTGCTATAGCTGCACTGCATAACAGGCTTCAGCAGGATTATAAAGTGTACTAGTATGATGTCTAAAGCTTCTTCAAGTGTTCTCCACTGTTCCTTATGCAAACTTCTACACGTGCTTTTAGTAGGTACACCCACGCTTCAGGTCTCTCGTGACTTAGTTCTACGTGGTCATATTCCAGCCAGCATAGTGCAGTTCGACACTCTCTCTAACTATCATCTACTCTTGCTATTAACATTTTGTATTTTCTCCCTAACCATTACTATAGGGAAGTTTAAAGGTGGTAAAGATGGCCAAAGTAGTGCATTTACAGTTGAAGAGCTTGTTGAGTTATTAGAGTCTGTTGATCATGACAAAGTTGTGTCTAGCAATGACATTATATCAGATACTGCATTAGCTGCATTGCTGGACAGATCAATGTTAACTGGTAGTAGTGGAAAGAGTGGCACTGCTACTGTAGGACCTGACCATGATAGTATATTTAAAGTTATAATTGAAGACAAAGATGATAAAGATATGTCCCTTTCAAGTAATTTAATTTATTATGTTCATTTCCTTGATTATTTTCTCCTTCTATAGAATAAATACATAGGCAACTCTGAACAATGACTATTATTATTTAACCTTATTTTTATCGTCTCATTTATCCGTTAATATCCATAGTAACACTAGTTCAATAGAATTATTAAATTTAGTATGGTGTGTGGGAGGATCAAAGGTAACTCCAGGAAATTATAGCACTATGGTTTGAGCTAGTACTAATAAGTTATAATGAATTATGGTGTGTGCCACAGTTCATAGTCATAGCTCCTGTCCAAGGATGGAAACCTGCATGATCACGTTATCCTTTAGATTTTTACTCTTTTCATGGTTGTACCCATTATTAAGGAACTTGCTTAACAAAAAGGATCACACCTGCTGGCATGGCCCGGCAAGACTACTGCATCCTCCTATATACTATGACTTTCAGACCCACTGCAAAAGCAACCACAAGATTAATAGTAAAATAATTTATCATTGTTAGACTAGTAAACAATAATAATAATTACATGGTACTTCAAAGTGATGTTTAGTTCTATGAAAAAACATTTCGTTTGAGTTGTGGTCCAAGACAAAAAATACTGATTTAATATACAACAAAATTAGCCAATGTTCCACTATGAAACACCTTCACAAAAAGTACTTCTTCATGATCATACAATATTGGATGCCCTTTTAATAGTTCATAAGCATGTGGCTCATCATTAATAAAGTTTTTACTTTTCATTTTTAATCGTGTTTCAACATTGACCTATTACAATAATGATGAGGAATATTTGTGGAGGAATATTATGTACCTCTATTGTTAGATCATAATCATTGACTATGTGTAAGTCAGTAGAAGCCAATCTTGATAAAAAATTGAACCCTAAGTTTGATTATTCATTATTATTAAATGCATACATGTATATAACTCACTTTGTGTTCTTCACCCATTGCAATACTTTTTTGTCTAAGATCTATTAATAAATGCACTATTCATGTCTGCATTAATGTTGTTAACTCTAAAATTCTGGCAACAGTGGATTACTACTATAATAAACACTACATTATTAAAGGGTACATTATTAGTAGTAAAGGTTTACAATTAGAAATTCAAAATTAGTGATCCCAAATCACACATTTTGATTGATAATCACTGGTAATGACTTGAGATTAGGGTTCCCACACCCACAGAACACTGGTATAGCTAGTGTTCATACAGGTTCTCATTAGTGGATTTTAAAGTTGCTCAAAAATTCTGACAAATTACCATGCACTACAATTTACAGCATTATGTTTCAAAAATTGCCATTAAAAAATCTATTTTTATAATTTTTTTAACATCTTGTGAACATGTGTTGTTAAAATTTTTGAGCTGATTTCAATGAAAAATTGTAGTTTTAACAAATAAGATTATTTTTAGTGCTACTCAAAAATCTGGTCCAAGTTTCTGTACATTGTTTATAACCAAAGATTGCCAAAAATGACTACGAGAGAATTCTTCATTTTAAAATTACAGATACAAATTCTTATGTTGTGTAGCAAGTTTGAGCTGATTTCAATCTAAATTGGATTTTTACAAATTTTTAAAAGTTACTCAAAAATATTGGGCCCAAGGCCAAAGTCTCTTACATGCATACATGTAAGTCCCTGAGTACAGGGTCTTTGGTGAAATTTCACCAAAAATGACTTAAGAGAATTCTCCACTTTAATAGTTATTTTCTGTTGCAATATGTTTCTGATCAAAATTAATTTTTTATGAATTTTGGTCAACTAATGCATTACTCACTGTACTGCATTGGAAATAGTGTAATACCATAAGAAACACCAATAGGTATTATCTATAATCACTCCCTAGTGTACATTGTGGTTTTTTATAATTATATTAGAGTAGTTTACATGTACATGTATATGTACATACCTTCCCATAATTGAGCTGTGATATAAGGAGCCATTGGTGATAATAACTGAAGAAAAATCAGCAATAATTTATGATACTCTAGTGTGCCCATTAGTCTTCAAAACTAAGTGAATTAATATAAAAATAATACACAGAACAAAATGATTAATAAATACAAGAAATTTAATTTTGGCAAATTGCTAGATTTAATTTGGCAAATTTGGGGCCATGTGCCATTGAAATGACTCAAAATGGCAAAATTTTATTGTGACAAATCGCTATCAAAATGCCAAATTTGCTAAATTTAACTTCCTCAAAAGTTTCCTGCTACATTGTGTATACAACAATAATTGTGTTTTACTAGTAAAGTTAACAATAATACCCTGCTATAAATGTAAATATGCAATATTTAAATTAAATTTAGTTTTTGTCTAGCAGGAATAGAATTCACTTTTCTGGAGTCTACCTGACTGAGATTCAGTGTCTCTGTGTAGTACCACAGCACATGATATTGGATTGACTGATCTTACGATCCCAATTAAGAGGAATGAAGCTACTCTCAGTGGAATAACAGATACAGTTAGTGACATTGTCAATCACCATTCTAGCATTATTGTTTAATTTTGCATGAAACTCCTCCCATTTGTAGTTGTCATTATTTTTTTCATTGTGACCACACACATTTGAATGAAACGGTACACACATTTGAATGAAATGGTCAACATTTTTACCACAAAATATCAATTGACACATAAAATTTAATAGGGGCGACATACTTTTCAAACATACAAAAGTGCCATACCCAATTTATAAACTGTAAATTTAATCACTTCCAATAATAACTCCCAGTAGAATTATTGCTTTCTTTCAGTTTTAGTTCTATTGTAAAGCCAGTGTGAAGCATTACGCTGCAAAAAATAGCATGGCAAGAAAATTTAAGTGTATTTTCGTTACATCTTTTTCAGCTGTCTTAGTTCTTTTTTGGGATCATCTATTGTGCTTTCAATTGGGTATTAATTTGCATTTCATGATTGTAAGATTTAATCTTTATATTCGATGTATTTTTTATGTTGCATCTGTGTTTTCTTTTCCTATCATTGGGCTATTGGCTGATGTACGTATTGGAAGATATAAAGCTATACTGACAGGTATGATATTATTTTTTATATCATGGATTATGTCTGGGATTGGATTCATCATACAAAGTTGTGATGGCCCCATTGAAGCACTATGGTCGGTGTACAGCTTAGCTTATTTGATCCAGTATATTGGTTTGGCTTTTTTCACTGCTAACATTATTCAATATATCATTGATCAACTTGTTGGAGCTTCAGCTGATGAACTAAACACTGTAATATACTGGCACTGTGCTTCATTGCCACTTAAATCGTTGCTTCTTAGTTTTGCTACCTGTTTTAATATTTATAAATATCACAATTTGATCATGTTTATACTATCAGGAGTAGCTGTATCTCTTGTACTGGTGTCTCATTCATTCTTCAAACACCAATTGGAGAACATATCGCTGATCAAAAATCCCATCAAACTGATACTTCGAGTATTATGTCATGCCAGGAAGCACAAGTATCCTGAGAATCGTAGTGCTCTGACCTACTGGGAGGAAGAGGTTCCTTCAAGAATAGACCTGGGTAAAGAGAAATATGGTGGACCATTCACAGAGGAAGAGGTAGAAGATGTGAAGACATTTTTTCGTATAATACCAATATTCATTGCAATAATTGGGTATTCACTAAGTGAAGAACATTATTATCATCTATCCAATGCTGACACTTCATTTCTAGACTGTCTTCTATTAAATGATGCCTTGCATACTGCATGTTCACTTCTTCTATTACTAATGTTTTTGTACCTTTTTAGAGTCTTTTTCTACAAGTATATTCCTAGTATGCTATGTAGGATGAGTATTGGATTGGTCTTTGCTTTGCTATCAAGAATTCCTTATCTGTTACCATTTTTAAACAGTAAAGGGAATGAGCTAGCTTCACAAATACTATTGGGAATATCTTATGTATTTGTCAATCCTGTTTCACTGGAGTTTACAGTAGCTCAGTCACCAGTGCAGACAAGGGGAGTGATGGTGGGCATTTGGTATGCTTCATGGCAGATTGGTTCTAATTTAAAAATTTGTTTGAGTCTCTTATTTCATTGTAAACATCATGGTATCTGCTTAAATTTCTATTACTATCTAACAAAAATTCTGCTGCTTTTTGTTATCTTGATAGTGTTTGCATTACTGGCTAAAAAATACAAGTATCGTGTGAGAGAAACTGATGTCAATATTTATCAGATTGTTGATCATACTTATCAAAATTATTTTAAACAAGAGAAAGAATACAATAACCAGGAGAACAGTATGGACATTAGCTCAAATTAATCATTAGTGGTTCGTGTGTGATTTGTTGCAATGCACATTGAAAAACAACTGCTATGTTAATTCTATATTGCTTTCAATTTCATTAACTAAGTGTTACGCTGTGAGAAATAAGAACTTTTTTCTTTAACTATCTTAATTCTTTATTGGGGTTTGTAATCATTTTATTAAGTTTATTTGCACACAAATAATTAATAATTGTAAGAATTGCTTTTTGTACATGTAGTAAAGGTTATTTATGTGAAACTGCATTAGTTTACATAAATAAGAATTCATATTTTCAGTTTCGTTCTGTGCTCATAGTATAAGTTGTTGTGATTATTAAGCATAAAGAACCACTTCTGTCATGGCAAGGAAACTTAACTTTGTTATCATAACCACTTTCACAGCTGTCTTAGGTCTTTTGTGGGATTACCTTTTGAACTTTCAATTTGGAATTAATTTGTATTTCTTTATTGTCAGGTTCAATTTTTGTATACAATCTATTTTATATATTGGGTCTGTGATATTTTTTCCTTTCTTTGGTCTATTGGCTGATGTGTGGATTGGAAGATATAAAGCTATACTGATCAGTATAGCATTGTGTTTTATATCATGGATTACATCTGGGATTGGACTTATTATACAAAACTTTGATGGCCCTAACAAAGCACTGTGGTTAGTGTCTAGCCTGATTCATTGTGTTGGGTTTGCTTTGTTTACTGCTAACATTATTCAGTATACCACTGATCAACTTGTTGGAGCCTCAGCTGATGAACTAAACACTGTAATATAATGGCACTGTGCTGCTATGCCAATGCAGTATTCACTATTCCATTTGGCAAACTGTTCTGCTACTTATTATAATATTAAGTTGATCATGTTTATATTATCAGGAGTAGCTGTATCTCTTGTACTGGTGTCTCATTCATTCTTCAAACACAAACTGGAGAACACATCACTGATCAAGAATCCTATCAAACTGATAGCTAGAGTTTTGTGTTATGCCAGGAAGCACAAGTATCCTGAGAATCGTAGTGCTCTGACATACTGGGAAGACGATATTCCTTAAAGACTAGACCAGGGTAAGAATAAATATGGTGGGCCATTTACAGAGGAAGAGGTTGAAGATGTAAAAAGATTCTTTCGTACAATACCAATATTCATTGCAGTAATTGGCTATTCACTTAGCTTAGAAGCTCATTATCTTTCTTTGAATGGTGGAACTTCTTTTTCAGTCTGCCTACTGTCAAATGATGCCATACATGTTACAGGTTCATTTCTACTAATAATGATGTACTTGTACTTTGCTAAAGTTTTTTTCTACAAGTATATTCCTAGTATGCTATGTAGGATGAGTATTGGACTAGTCATTGCTTTACTATCAAAAATTACTGATTTGTTACCATTTTTAAGCAGTAGATCTATATTGACAAAGATTATTTCACAAACACTTATGGGAATATCTTTTGTTTTAGTCAATCCCGTTTCACTGGAGTTCATCACCAATGGAGACTAGAGTATACTTCATGGCAGATTGGTTTTAATTTAAAAAATTATCTGAGTTATATTTTTCATTGTCAGTATAAGGAAATCTGCTCAAATTTGTACTACCATCTAACAAAAATTGTCTTGCTTCTTATTATCCTAATAGTGTTTGCATTGCTGGCTAAACGTTACAAGTATCGTGTGAGAGAGAATGAAGTTAATATTGTTCAGATAGTGGATGGCACTTATCAGAGGTACATGGAACAAGAGAAGGAATACAATAACCAACAGAACAATAATACATGTAGATAGTTAATACATCCATGTAATAATTCATATTGTGTAGTTGCATTGTATTTTGTTTTGTTTGTTATTTTAAGTTAATGATATATTGCAGAGCATCAATGTGTCTTGGGAATAATTTGTAATCAAATTTCATTGATTTTATTATGTCACAATTGTTGCTTTGCTACTGTCAGTTGGTTATTGTTGTGCACTTGTTTCTTTTTGCTTCAACATTGGTGAGTAACTTTGAGGAGCTGTTTAATACAACTACTGAAGAGTTGGCAATCAATGTGGGCGTCACTGAAGGCCTTGTATCTGTCGATGATGTTACCATTAGCATTGCAATGGTATGATTTAATGCATTAAATTTCAAATGAAATCAGTGGCGATTTTTACTATATTATGTATTAATTAACATAAAATTTTTTTTTTTTTAATATACAGATCCTGTTTGACAGTGGTAGAAATAAATGGGGAAGAAGAGATCATTTTTGCTACTAACATTCTTAATGCTAAATCACAAAAGACACTAACAATTCCAGACTATTAAGAGATTGGTGCACTAAGCATTAGTAGTACACATAAGACATCAGTATCATCACAATAAGAGTAGGACTTTCATTTCCTATTTTCGTTAGTCATTTGGAATCCTACTTGTCCTTGTTTCCATTACTTTTTTGACAAGCACAAAGTAAATCTTACTTAATCTTTTTATTTGAAAACTTTTATACATGTAATTAAATTAAAACCACAAATTACACAATAGCAGCAAGCCATAAAATAACCTGCTTTATGATATTGTTCAATAATCAATACATGTACTTACCAACTTCTTTAGCCTGGATGATAATAAGAAAAGGTGATAAATGGCAATGTTAAATTCATGTGTATCTTTAAATACTTCTGATATCTATGAAAACAACAATAATAATTAATCAGTCAATATCACATACACAACTGACCAGTTTTAATGTTCTGCTTGTTACTACTGAAAACTGAATGACTTTGCCGCTATCAATACTCTCTCTTTGTCTGACATCCCTTTCATTAAATTTATTAATACGGCTACCAGTTATACTCCATACTCTGCACATAAATCTACACATGGCACCAATATCTACAAAAAATATTAATTTACACAAGTAATTATAAAACTAATCACACTGTAGGCTGAGAAATTTTCCAGTGTCAAAACATTTTCCTTCTTATAGGTAGCAGTGAATGATAGATGTTTCAGATGATTTTGGAATCATTTTTTGGAAAAACCATGGGCTATAGCTTTAAGTACTTTCAAATCAGTCATTTTTAAAATGGCCATAACATGAAAAATTGAATACAGAATCAGCTCAAACTTTCTACACAGCATAAGGACATCGATATATATCAGAAAATGTGATAAAATTTGAAATAATTTTAGAACTATTTTTTGAAATAAATGTGCAGTTTATACTCTTCAAAAATTGGCATTTAAAAAAAAACAGCCATGACATGAAAATAAGTGCACAGCAATGCAATTTTTATTCACAAAATATTTGTCACATGAAACTATCCCAATTAATCTACAGTACTCACAAAATTAATTTGTACAATGTACCATTATAGCTCCCAGGTCATACCATGATTTGGAGGTGCCTATAATGAAACCAACAAGAATATACATAATAATAATAATAACAATAAAAAATTTACATGCATATTTTGATAATTTATCTAGGTCACATTCTTCAATACACTTTCTCTCTCTTTTCCTCTCTTTATCTCTCCCTCTCTCTCTTTCTCTCTCTCTCTCTTTTTCTCTCATTCTCTTACTTTATATAGCATAAATAATCTAATGGCATCAATTCCATAATGTCCAATGGATCAACTCCATTATTCTTTGACTTGGACATTTTTTCCACTAAACAATAACATCTTTACTGTCAGCTCCATCATCTTCATTATATCCTTTGATATATTCACCAGTTCTTTTATGAACAAATGTCTTTCCTAAAACAATTAGGCCATACAATTAAAAGCATGTACATGTAAATGGTGATGCATGTACATGTAGCTGTTGTTTAGAGTCAACTATAATATACATGTATTTCAACAATCACAAAACTTTAATCACAAAAACTGCAGTATCTATTAAATATAGAGCTACAGTAGTAAAAAATTTGAGGCAATGAAATTTGATGAATTGACTCTAAAAGAGGCTTGATGCCAATGGTTACAATTTTGGCCCATGTGCATGCTGGTACATTAATCGCCACTAAAATTGTAACAGTTGGACTTCAATTCAACAAAATTTTAGCTACACATACATGTACCGTAAAGCGGGATTTATTGACGAGTAAAAAATTGACGAAAATAGTAAATTTCCCCAGTTGGTGAGTTGTAATTTGACGAATAGTTCCCTTTGCGTACACATGGCACAAAGTACATAAAATTTTGACAGTTATAAAATTTGACGTTTTATTTTAAGTCGTCAACTCGTCAAAATAAAACCTTCATCAATAAATCCCGCTATACAGTACATGTACATGTAGAAGGTGTTATATACTGTGCTTGTGTTATAAGTTTCTCGAAAGGTTCTTTGACAGGAACTACTCCAATGTCATACAGGAAATGCATTATAAACCTTGAATATAATAAATGAAGAACAGCTGTATCAAAAAAGAAATTAACACATTTCATTAGCAAGATTACTATTAGTTCATTATTCATACCATGTTCTATTCCTCCTAAATAAAAGTACACAGGGAGCCACTGTGATGCAAGATCCTTATTAACAATATTATTAGCATCCATTGGATTAATATAACGTAGAAAATACCATGTGGAATCAACAAATGTATCTATAGCATCAGTCTCACGTGTTGCCACACTCCCACACCTAAAATTGGTATGCATTAATTAGAAAATACATAAATATGCACTAACTTAGGGTAAGTTGTTTTTAAGTTCTTTGGCTTCTGGTAAGTGACAAGCCATCTCCACTTAATTGATGTGAATGAGGCAGTATAAGTATAGATTATTATCAGGTCAGGATGATACATGTATTACATCATAATTAATAATATACATATAGTGTGGTTGGGGGCCGGTAGTCCGGACAATCACCTCCAAAAATAAACAAGCTCATCACTTAGACCAACCATGTAATTAATACTAATAACCATACATAAAGCATGACATTGTAGTCTACTATGGTGTACATAAATTTAAAAAAGAACAACATTAGTCTTCAACCAACTGTAAATTTTTCTAGGTGTACATGTACATAACTGACAGTTCATTGTCACAGTAGACTATAGGTATTGGTGTCCCCCAGTATCTCTGTCTTGATATTAACCATTCTCTCCATCTATATGCTACTGTAATCTCACCTTTACCTTCTGCCCATAATATACAGTATTAAGTCAAAAATAATAGAGTAATAGTACAATAATTTTTTAATTGCCATAATTTTCCCATTACATGTACACATGTACATGTACATTGCAGGTACAGGGCCACCTTTTTGGGACAATAAACATGTATCTATACTGTAGCTGGTATTAGTAATAGAAAAATAAATGTACATGTAATTTAATAGTAAAATTCAATTCAAATTAAAATGAGCTTAAAGTTTCTACACAACATACAGTACAGTAAGTATATGTACATGACTACTAGAAGCATGTGCATTGGAAAATGTACCGTATAGCGGGTATATTCCACGAGAGTTTAATTTCGTTCTCATTCCTTGTGGAACGAATATTTTCCAAACAAAAAAGGCGTTTCCTCCGCCACATGTACAAAATAATTTAGCCAAAGACCGGTCCTGTACTACAGAACAGGCCAGACTTTGGCCCAATTTGGGAGCAACTTAAAAAAAATTTTTTAAATCCAATTTTAACGAAATCAGCCCAAACTTGCTACACAAAATAGGAACATGTTTATGCATTAGAATAAATGTAATGAAAATTAAGAGTTTTCTTCTAGCAATTTTTGATAGTACTGTACATGTACAGGGTGTTTTGTCAAAGTTTTGAGCCAATTTTAAAAATTATGTGCAGGTACCTCAAGTAGTTGTGTGATAGCTTTAGCTCCTTCCTCTCTTGTTAATCCATTAAACTATAAATAACAATTAATTAATAAAAACTAACAGTGAACTCTTGTTAATATCAATAGTAAATTATGTACACTTAATAATAGCAATAATGAAATTTAACAGTGAACTCTTGTTAATATGAAATCAGTAAATTATATACTCTTGATAATAACTATTAAATGACTCACTTGAACTGAATTTACTAATCTGTTCTCATTGTCTAGTACGTCATGATGATTTAAACTATTTTCATCAACAGAAGGTACATCTATGAATGTACATGTACATGTAATGCAGAACATGTGTATCACAGATTATACAGTGAAGTTAGAGAAAAAGAGAGAGTAATTTTGTCATATGTACATGTACACGTGTTCATTTACACTTTTTAATTACTGACACTTAATGTCATATGCATGCATGCATCTGCAACACAATTAAACCTTCTCACTTTGTTTAACACTACTATTGCTCAATATGTACTGACACAGGCTTGCCTGACTAGAACTCAACTACCTATTTTCTACAATAAGTACATTAGCACACACTTTATTCTGCATTAGAGGTGGGCGATACCAGAAATTTTGAATCGATACCGATACCAAGTAGTCTGAGTCACAGTATCGATGGTATCGAGTAGTGAATGAGTAGTTAGCTACTGCGCATGCGCAATTAAGTTATAACTAGTTATTAATAAAAATGAAGAGAAATAAACCGCCATTTTGTAATTATTAAGGGGTGTGACCATAATTATGACGTAATAAAATAGGTGCGGTGGGGCGTGGCTACTCACTACTCGATACCAGGATTTGGTATCGAGTACTTGGTATCGGAGGCCTGGTATCGGATATATGAGTACTTTGGTATCATATCGCCCACCTCTATTCTGCATTTAGAATCAATGGATCAAATACTTTAGACTCGGAATTGTCCATCACTATTGTGAAAAGTCAATCTAAGTGCCATGATCTTGTGACAAAGATTATCTCATTTGGTAAGTGACTAGAAATCATGTTATGTGGTTCAAATGGGGTGTATGGCAATATTTTCAGCTGTATAGCATTATTTAGCTCTTTAAGTTTTGTAATACTAACAAGGGTGTAGTGGAATTTTGAGATCAAAAACAATGAATAATAAATGAACATCCACAACATCCCCCAAGCTAATGAGTTAGTACATACTTAGTTACATAGTGATCACATACACAGCCAAGAATTGTTTTCTATAATTGCCCATTATTAATTTCATTTAAGTCATATTCCTTTTTTTACAGTATTGAAAATGACGAGTAAATTGTTGCTTTATTTTGGCACCAAATTTTATAAAATGTGGTTCTTGGATTCAGGGGATTTTTGATCTCATGTTAATTTAAATAGCCTGCCTGACTGGTTAATTATCTTCAAGATGAAAATAAAGGCAGATTTAGATTTATTGGAAGCAACCTTTAAGCATTTGCAAAAGCTGTCAAAGGATATTCCAGCAGCTTATAAGGTGTTTGTACCAGTAAATAATTACACAAAATGGATTTACGATCATCACTACCATGCCACTCCTTGATCAGTTGATATTTCCTAATGTGTAATCTACTTGATGTGAATATTTCTGATGAAATGTCAGACCCTATTTGCTCCAGTCTTTCATTCCCATTATAAGCTTGCCCCATTTTTGTATGACAACCCTGCTTTGCTTAGGCATTACAAAAGTAAAATCGATGGAGACCTGTCTGATGAAGATAAATAGACAATAAGAAAATATATAAATAAATTATCTACCATAAATATAGCGTCTAGTGACTCTATTTTCGCTTCTAAAAGTCTACCTCATAAAACAGGGTTTTGTTACCCAAGAACACATGGTTTAAGAGGCTCTTTGGCACTTTTCAAGCATATTATCCATCATTAAGGAATGAAATTTTTTATACAGCTAAAAAGGCCTTTCTTTTGAATCTAATGTAATTCAATATGCCAATGGTTTGCAAGACCATATTTCTGGCAACATTAAAGGGATTTCAAGGATACATGGATAGCCAGACATCATTATTAAAAGCAGACTCAATCCTCTTATTGTCAATAGGACTCATGGTATGGGACTGGAGGAGGAAAAGAATTTTAATGGTAGTAACAGTACTGATCCTCCATTGGATGACAGCAGTGAACTTGGCCTATATCTTATGAAGTAATGATAATTAGGTTTCTGAACAAGCTCTCAAAGTAATACCACTCCTCATGTTGGTGGAATTCCTGATAAGGTTGGAGAATTAATTTCAAAATATGTGGTGGTTGGCTATTTGTAGATTTTTTTAAATACGAACTTGAAGGTAGTCCACTGACCAAGGTATCTATCAATGGGCAGTACATTGATAAAGGTTCTGGATTCATTAGCATAACAATAGACTTTGAAATGGACAAGAAACCTCATTTATATGTACATACGCTGTATCTATAGTGGGTTTTTCTCTGAGCAGACTCTGTGCTATGCTATGTCAGATATCATGCATGATGAGTCAAATGATCACTAATCAATGACAATTTTTTTTTCCTCTCTTCATTCCTTCAAACTTTTTCATGCATGGTTACAATTCAGTGACAATAATTCTCTTTTTCCTTTTTAATGAAAGAGATTCTTTCACTATCATTATTATCATCAATTCAGTATCCATGTCCTACCCACTGCCACTAGAGGTATACGGGTAAATCTACATCAGTATTACTCTACTGATTCAACTTGCTATTTTGGGTTTCAGAATTAGCTCAAAGAACATGTACTGTACATGTACATGTATCAGAAATATTTGTATTTATTTTGAATTCATGCACCATAAATGCCATACTGTCGCCATATTACAGTAGATACCGTATAGCGGGTTTGTTTCGTAAGGCTAAACTTTCGTTCTTTTCGTTCTTCAAGATGGGAGAACAAACAATTAACCCAACAAAATTCCAGTTTTAATGGGCGTGGTAGCTTATTAACGTCTTCAGAACAAATGTTTAACCTCACAAAAGTCATTTTGAGGATGGAAAACGAAAGTTTATCCTCACGAAACAAACCCGCTACGCCATATGTAACATTTAATTTTTATCGGGTAAAATTTTCATTAAAATCCTGCTTCTGTAATGTAGAGGGTGTGGCTCATAGTCAGACTGACTTGATTTCAGACACTCATATTTTCTTGTATGTAGATCCTTCCAATATCTTTTGTTATGAAAATGATCTTTTAGGTTTCATAGCTTGAGAAATAAAATTAAAAGTTCTCTTGTTTCCTGGTAGCTGCGGGGGAGGGGGGGTGGCAGCAATTTTAAAAAGTTTCTTGTGCTGCTGATGATCAAACGATTTTAATATATAACCAGACATCTTATCTCAAACTTTTTTGCAAAAGTGAGCAGTGGTCTTTTGTTGCACAATAATAAAGAACTATTCATTGTGTACTTGTCATGCAAATTGCAAATGAAACTTTACTGTGATCTTGGAGATATTGCAGTTCGATGACTGCAACCTGAAATGCAGCAATGATTAGACAAATTGAGGGTGTGGCTATTTGACACGTGTACACATGCCAGCCTCACAAGGAAGAAAAAGGTGTGAATTAGTGTGTTTACTTGCTTATCTGCTCGCTTATTTGTGTTTTGTTGCTCTGGTCTGTTTTGAAAATTAGTGGGAGCAAAGTTTATACTAGAAAAAACGGCACCCAAGTGTATGTTCACAGCCAAATGGTGCACTGAAAGGATCATTCCACTTCAGGATGTCCCACACCATATACACATAAATCCTGGTCCGATTGTAAAATTTCCAAGGCATTGGAGGCAGTTAGCAAGGGCTCCACAGTAAAAAAGTGCAGCTGAGGACTATGGTGTTGACACTTTATGATTGGATTCATGGAAGAGTCATTCATGGAACAAAGAGTGGGCCTAGGAAATATCTCACCTCGATGGAAGAGGAGCAGTTGGTATTACTTCTTCAAAATCCCTCTTCTATTGGATATGGGAAGTCAAGGAAAGATACCCTTGCTCTTGTTCAAGCTGTCATAGATAAAAAGGTACTGATACACAAGTGTCGTCAAGCTGGTTGAAGTCATTTGCCTCGAGGCATCCAGAATTGACATTGAAGACTGGTGAATCAATATTAAGACCTAGACAAATTGCTCCAGTAAATCAAAGTAGCTTTCCAAGTTTTCTTTTGATGTTCCAAACACTTATCAATAATGATTTGATTCATAGGCCTTGCCAAATTATTAATACAGATGAAACTGGTGACCCACTAGATCTGAATACTCTTAAAGTTTATAGTACAGTTTTTCAGAAAAATTTTTACTCTGTTTCTTCTGGCACTAAGGCTCAAATAACAGTACTGGCATGTGTCAGTGTTAGTGGTCAATGCTTGCCGCCAATGATCATTTACAATAGGAAAGGTCTTGAAGAAGGCACGGATTTTGGAGCTATTCCTGGCACTCTATTTGCCTTCAGCATAAAGGGATGGATAGACACAAAACGTTTTGAAAACTGGTTTTTCTATCACTTTCTTGCTTATACTCCTCCTGTTCGACCACTTCTCCTTTTGGATGGACACTCTAGTTACTATAGTCCGACATTTGTAAACAAAGCAACAGAAGAGAAGATTATTGTGTTTTACCTGCCGCCAAACACAACACACCATACTCAGCCTCTCAATAAGGGAGCCTTTAGTCCCTTAAAGATTTGTTGGAGAGGAATGTCATAACTTTTTTAGCAATAATCCTGGTAAAGTAATCAACCATTACAACTTTGGAGCCACAGTCAGTGACACCTTCAAATATCATTGCTGGATTTAAAGTCACTGAAGTATACCCTCTCAACCGGTATGCAGTACTTCCCTGTGACAAACTTCAGATGTCACTTACTGAATGCACAGACCTTAAGTTTATTCTATTCTACACACCAACATGATTTAGAAGGATTCCATTGCATATCCAGTGAATGATATTTCCTATACAACAAGTCACATAAGCAGTAAAACACCTGACCATGAAGAATCTTTCTCAGTAGTGTCTAATCAGGATGAATCATTGGAAACCGCTTCTTCTGAAAATGATGACAACACTTCATTATCAGAGCCTGAAGATTCATGTGCATTTACAGCTGAAGAAGATGCTAAGTTCAGAAAGCCATTCAAAGAAGAATATGATATAGATACAGATACAAGATACAACTTATGGTTAAAATCTCTTCCATGTTATACATACCCTACTACCACAAACAACAATACAATCATTTCTAAAGTTACCAGATGTCAAACGTCCTAATACAACACATATAGCTTCAGGAAGAATAATAACTAGTATGGAATATTGTAAGAATTTAATGGAAAAAGAGAAAAAGAAGAGGAAGCACAAAGGAAAGCTTTGTGACAAAAGGAAAGGGAGAGAAGAAAATTATAAAGACAAATACAGTCATCAAAGAGAAGAGGTGAGTACTGATATTAATTATTTCTTTATAGTCTAATGTTTGATGCAGTTTCATTTTCAATACCATCAGCATCAATTAGTAAGATTCAGGTAGCTAGTATGAGAAGTGGAGTGAAACAAAGAGGATCAGCAAGTACAGGTATAATTACTGTGCTAAGATAGGGTACTTAGAGAAGGAGTGTACTCAGTGTAGCAAGAAGTAAGCAGATTCAAAGGAGATCTGTTTCATTGTAGGAAGCCTGGACACCTTGCATCCCATTGCCCAGAGAAGACAGGAGCAGGCTCAGATATAATTTGTCAAAAGTCTAGCAAGGGATTATGCAGGATCAGCTCAATCAATGGAAAAACAATTCAAATATTGCTGGAAACTGGTTGTTCCAGAACAATGGTGCGCAGTTCATTAGTCCCATCGCAATGGATACAGGAGGGAGAAGAGATGACTATACGCTATGCTCATGGGGACACCATACATCTACCCACTGGCAGAGGTATATCTGAGTATAGGAGGGAAGTTGATAACTGTCAAGGCAGCTGTATCTGATACTCTACCAGTAGCAGTGTTGTTGGGAACAGATGTGAAGGAGCTGTTGAGCTGTTAGGATGGGAAGTAAGATTGGACAACTGTAATGATAATGCTGTATTGGTGGAGACTCAAGCAGGCAAGCAAAGACAGGTGGAAGTGGGAGAGACTAGCTAGGGAGCACGAAGTACTATCAGAAGTGACACTAACACTTTTGGTGTTGAAGCAAACACCTAATGCACATATTACACTCCTATATACATACATGTACACCCCTTGCACATGCTATGCGTACCACTAAACACACAACACAAAGCTAACAAGAAGACAACAGAGGCAAGTTAATCAGTCTGCTAATAATCAAATAGTACCTATTCACTCACTGGATCTCACTACAAAGGAGTTCCAGCAGCTACAGGAGAAGGATTCATCATTGAAAGCAATGAGAGCAGCAGCTGATGAACGTGTGAGTAGAGCTGGGCCTTGATTCTTTAGGAAGGATGGACTTGTACAAGTACAGACACTGGACACCCCCAGGAAGAGAACAAGTGTCTAAAGTGGAGCAGCTGGTAGTACCAAGAAAATGCAGGAGGATGGTGTTACAGTTGGCCCATAAAATTCCTTCAGCAGGACATCTTGGATAAGAGAAGACCCGCCAATGCACTTTTCAATATTTCTACCGGCCTACACTGTTTCGGGATGTGAAGCAGTTTTGTAAAGCATGTCCAATCTGCCAGAAGTCATCACCATGAGGAGTCAAGAAAGCACCTCCACCAATTATTGAAGAACAGTTCTCTAGAGTGGCAATGAATATTGTGGGGCCACTACATGTAAGTCCTTGTCCTTTGCGACTATGCTATGAGGTACCCAGAGGCTAATCCATTGAAAAGCATTGATGCAGAACATGTTGCAGAGGAACTTATCAAGATATTTTCAAGAATGGGTGTACCCCAATAGATTTTTACAGACCAAGAGAGCAAATTCACCTCTTAGTTGCTAACAGAGCTGTATCAATTGCTACATGTTAAAGCAATTTGAACTTGTCCATACTACCAGCAGATGGATGAAGTTGTGCAGCGATTCAGTCCGACACTCAAGTCCATGTTATGTAAGACAGCTGACAAGTAAGGAAAAAAATGGGACAAGCATACATATACCTTATTTACTTTTTGCCTACAGGGGGGTACCTCAACCATCCATGGGTTTTCTCCTTTTGGACTGTTGTTTGGGAGAAGTGTACAGGACCTCTGGATGTGCTAAGCAAACTTGGCAAGCTGAGGAGAAAAGTAATGATAGGAAGGTGAGCTATGTGTTGTCAACCAGAGAGAATCAGATTACAGGAGATGTCAGAAACGGTGAAGGTCTCAATGGAGAAAGCTAAGGATAGCCAGAAGAGATGGTATGACAAGGATGCTAGACTAAGAGTGTTTGGGACTGGGGATGAAATACTGGAGTTACTTGCCACCTCTTAGGATAAGCTCCTAGCTCAGTGGCAAGGACCATATCAGATTGTGAAGAGAAAGGGAAGGGTGACCTATCTAGTGGACATGCAAGACAAGAAGAAATGAAAGGATCTTCCATGTCAATATGTTAAACAAATTCCACAGATCCAATTCAAACTGTAGTAACTACCTGAGTATGGAAGAGAATGATGAGGAAGCACTGATAACTTATACTCCAGTCTGGAATGGGACCCCATCTGATGAGATGGTGGTAGGTAGCTTACATGATGCACAACATGATTTACATGCAGCATTACATGATTTTGCTGTTCAGTTTCAGAATAAGGCAGGATGGACTAAAGCAGCTACTCATTCTACTCAAACTGGAGATGGCACAGGCACACCAATTCAACTAGCATCCTATCAGTTACCTAATGTGTATAGAGATACAATGGCTCAAGAGCTCCAGGAGATGGAAAATCAAGAGATCATCGAGCACTCATCAAGTCAGTGGGCAGCTTCAATCGCATTAGTGGCCAAGAAAGATAACACAATTCAAATCTGTGTGAATTATAGATGCCTTAATGTAGTATCCCAGCCAGATGCTTACCCAATGCTTACCCAAGTTTTCGGGTGGTCCTCAAGACTAACAGGAGCTTGCCAGTAGCCACATACGAGTCAAATCAAGTTTAAAGATGAATTTGGATTGCCCAACTCAATCCAGAAGGTTGTATTGACAACCTTCTGGATCAAGTAGGGCAATCCAAATTCATCTCCAAACTTGATTTGACTCATGACTACTGGCAAGTTCCTATTAGTCTTGAGGAATGAGGACCACCCGAAAACTGCATTTACAACACCATTTGGCCTTTTCCAATTTACAGTTATGCTTTTCAGCTTCAATGGAGCTTAACATTTCATCGTATGATGGATTGCTTGCTACAGGGTTAAGAAGATCATGCTGCAGCTTACACTGACAATGTGGTTATCTTTAGCAAATCGTGGGAAGACCACCTATACCATCTCAGACCAGTATTTATCACAATGAAGGAGGCTGGTTTTAAAGTAAAGAGGAGCAAGTGTGAGTTTGCTACTTATCATTGTGGATATTTGGGACATGTGATTGGTAATGGAGTTGTTTGACCAGAAAATCACAAATTGGACACTTTGCTATCCCAAAAAACCAAGGTAGTTGTCAGAGCCTTTTGGATCTCACTGGCTACTATAAAAGGTTTATTCCTGATAATGCTATGGTGGCTGTACCACTAGCAGATCTTGTCAAAAAGGCCTGCCCAAATAAAGTACAATGGAATGAATCATGTACAGAAGCCTTTCGGAAGTTAAAGGACTTGCTATGCTCTAAACCAGTTCTAAGGCGTCCTACCTTTCTTTGTTCAGACTTATGCATCAGATCAAGGTGTAGGGCAGTTGTTAGCCAAATAAATGAGATGAGATAGTAGAGGAGTACCCTTTAGGATATTTCAGCAGGAAGCTACTCCCTTGGGAGGAGAGTTACTCTACCATAGAGAAGGACTGCCTGGCAATCAAGCCAGCCATCACAGCTTTCAGTGTTTATCTGCCAGCATGTCCTTCACTATAGAGACTGATCATAGTTTCTTGGAATGATTGCATAAAATGACAGATAGAGTGTAGCAACGCAAAGCTAACAAAATGGAGTTTATAATTGCAGCCTTACCAGTTCAAGGTAAAATACAAGTCAACGAAACAGTACAGAAATGCTGATGGTCTTTCTGGTGGGGTAACCACTATAGCGGCCTGCTGAGAAAAAGGGGGAGATGTAAAGGAATGTCCCCGCACAAATTGAAACTACCACAGCTCATGCAGTGCATTGTGGTTGTGGTATATGATCTAGAATGTTCTGTAAAATATATAATGCATAGTGATTTTTTGTTACAG